GCAAGGCTTCCTACCACCCCACCTCCCAATCCTATTCTCCCCACCAAAGGAGTCACTGTCATAAATTCGGTGTGTACCCTTGTGTGGACATGTATCTCATTGTGTATATTCATGCTCACATGTATTCTGGCTGCAAGCAAAATTCCATAGACTGGATGGTCTATAAACAACAGAAACTTATTTCTCACGGTTCTGGAGGATAGGAAGTCTAAGAAGGTGGCACTGGCAAATTCAGGATCCAAAATGGGCTAGTCCTCATGGAGAACCAACTTCCCACCCTAACCTCACATTTGGACCATAACAACATACATTTCTATATGCATGTATTTACCATTCTGTGCTTTCTCTTAAACAGTGACATCACATTTTATGAGTCCCTCTGTCATTTTATCCATCAATATCTCAAGGTCCATGACAGTGAATGACCTGAATGTCCTTCATTGTTTTAGATTAGAAACCCAGAAACAGGCATGGCATAGTTTGTTTAACCTCTCTTAGTAATATCATCTAGGTTGTCTCAGTGTTTTTGTAATACATAGTGAATTCCCTTATAAATGCCTCCTTCTGCAGATATAAGAGGGTTTCTTTGGAATAAATCCTAAGAACTGGATCTGCTGGGTCAATATAACACACATACCTGTTATTTCAAAGGATAGCATACCAAATTGCTTGCATAAGTGACGGTGTGCAATTCATGCCCCCCGGCAGTGCAGACACAACAACGCTGCCAACACTTACTGCCAAACCCTTCACTTTTTGCCAATTTGATAATTGAAAATGGTACCCTGTACTTCAATGTGAATTTCCTGAAAAAATGGGATGTGCGTCTTTCTATATATCTGTAAGCCACGACTGTTTCCTTTTATATGAATTTCTTTGTACGATACATTTGTTCTTCTGTTGTATGCTTGTCCATTCTCATTGATTTGTCAGAGTTCTTCATAGATTCCAGAAATCAATCCTTTGTCTGTTTGTATGTGTGCAAGTAGTTTCTCCAAATCTTTACTTGTCTTTCAGCCTTTGTGATTTTTTCAATCTAGTTTTTCAAATATGGCAAATTACAGCAGTCACAGCTTGTGTTTTGAGAAGGCCTTCTCTATCCCAAGGTTCTGACATACTCCATATTGTAATGAGCTCATCGTTTTTTTTCCTGTTTCTTTAATCTGTCTGAAATGTTAGGGAATGACATGAAGTAGGGCCCTTTACCTGTCTATGCCTAGCTGTGTGCCAAGTGGTTTTCTTTTCTCCAGTGATTCAAATGCTACTCTTATTATAAATTGTTGCCATACACATTGGTCAGTTTCTATCCTCTATTCCATTGATCTTTTTTTATTAATTTTTTTATTTTGTTTGAATTAATTAGTTACACATGATAGTAGAATGCATTTATGCATTTTGATATATCAAACATAGATGGGGTATAATTTCTGATTTCTGATTATACATGTTATACAATCACACTGCTCTGTTTCTCTATCATTACCAAGCTCTTTGGATTACTATAAATTTAAACGTATATTGTGACCTCTAAGCAACGCCCCACCCCACCCTGCTTTGTGTTTTTCCAAATTGATCTTGGACATTCTTGCACATTTCATTTTCCAAATGAACTCTCTAGTTCATTTGTCAAATTCCATGATAAAGCTCCTTTGGGATTTTGATTAAGATCACACTAAATTGCAGGTTAGGTACAATTCTATATCTTTATATCTTCCATTTATGAACATGTAATCTCTCTCTCTCTCTCTCTCTCTCGGTCATTTATAGCCCTGTAATAACACTTGATAGCTTTTTCGAACAATTCATTTTAGGTTCATTATCTAGTGCTCCTGAAGTCTCCAAGTTCTAATAACTTGTCCCTTGATCCTCTCGAAATCATGTTGTCTGCAAATGATTGCTTTGTCTCCACCTTTCCCACCTGCGGTTCTTATTATTTTTCTTACTGGCTATAACAAGACCCAGAGAACAACACTGAGTGGCATCAGCAGTATTGGCCACCCTTGTCCTATTGTATTTAATAGATTTAATAACCACTTCTCCATTAAGTAAGTCTTCTATGCATAGACTTGATCAAGCTAAAGGCATTTCTATCCATTGCTGCCGCGGTCTGGCTGCAGCAAATAACGGGGGGTGACGAACGACTTGTGTAGATTGATACAGCAGGAGTGGGAGCCGTTTATTGTAGGACAGGAGTGGTATTTATACATTCCACACAGCTTATCTTAATTAGCATAAACTAGATACATCAGTCAACCAATAAGAAATCTCCACACTTAATGGCTTGCTGGTGTTACTTCACAAACCACTCCCTCTGGCATTTTGCCAGGCGCCATCCAGACTTGTTTACAGACTCTAACATTTCTCTGGCAAAATGCCAGGCGCCATCCTGACTTGTTTACAGACTCTAACACATTGCTAATATGTATTCATGCATGGAGACAAATATCATTAAATGCTTTTTTATGAAGACAAGCATAAATTTTTTCTCCTTTAATCTACAGATTTTATAAATTACATAGATAGGTTTTCTATTCTGGTAAAAGTCTTCCATTCCTGGTAAAAGTCCTTTTTGTCATAACATATTTTAAGTCTCTATTCACAAGTAAAAACAGTCCATATATATCTTTCATAATAAGGAAAATACACACCAAAAAGGCTTTATATATATACACACACAAATTTTTGTATTATTTCTTAGAAATAAAATATACAGGTAAAGAATGCTTAATGCCACATAAAAAGAAAAGATCATATGTAAACTGAGTATCTGCAAAATGAAAAAATAATATATTTGAACTTGATCTACTTACTGAGTTCCTGCTTGGGTTAATGCTGTCACTATCAATCCAGCCACTCATTCCAGCAAGTCACTTAATCTCCACTCCTCCCTTCCCACTGTCCACAGGTAGGAACTCACCAAGTCCCAAACTTCCCAGGTCACTCTACCTTGCATCCTGGCCATAGGCTGGAACAAGCAAGGTCAGAATTTTAAGGCAGACTTGGCTCCAGTCCTCACCATCTCCAATTTCCCATCTATAAATAGACACAACGCTATCACTTTTGGAGAGCTGTGGTTAAAGTTAAATGAGTAGTTAATATGTTAAGTACTGGCTACCATGTTTGCTCTCATGCATGATCCAATGTGAGCACTCTCAAGATCATCTCCTCTCCTCAACTCGCCCTCTATCCTGACCCTAGGCCAGGCCCTCCAGTCTTCACCTTGTCTATGACAACTGTCTTCTAGTCTTTCCACCATCTGATGCTGCCACCAAAGCTCACTTTGCTTTTTTTGTTGTTGTTATTGTTGTTTTTCTCTTCCCAGTATTGGGATTGAACCCAGTGGTGCTTTACCTCTGAGCTACATCCCTTTTCATTTTTTATTTTGAAGCAGGGTCTCACTCATGTGCCCAAGTTGATCTTGAACTTGTAATCCTCCTGACTCGGCTTCCCTGGTAACTGAGACAACAGGCAGGTACTGCCATGACCAGCCCCAAACTCACTTTATAGAATTAAAAACTGAATCATGTAATTTAGTTGTTTAAATCTTGCCTTGTCTCCCAACTACCACCAGATAAAGTTCTAAGTTCTCTGCATCACTTGAAAGGCAACTTAGACAGAAAATGGGGGTAATTTTAGAGCTAAATCTTTCTAGGAGATCCCATGAGACACTTGCTAGCTGAGAGGCCCCCACAGAATTACTTCTGCTCAGACACTGTCCCTGTCATCAGCCACTCAGGAACCAAAAATATTACATTATTTTGAAAGAATGTATCTTCCAGGATGTAGACTTGTTTCTAAATACTTTGAGAAGTACAAATATCTGGCTACTTCCTCTCTGCAAATAAATTGCCTTTGGATGTATTAGAGTTTGCTGTAATGAAAGTCAGAAAACACAGCTCAGAAAAATAAAAAATTTCCAGCTCTGTTGTTTTTACAAACCTAGATAACTGTTATGGTTTGGATATGAAGTATCCCCCCCAAAATTCACGTTAGGCAATGCAGGAAGGTTCATAATATTTGGAGATGAAATGATTAGACTGTAAGAGCTGTAACTGAATCAGTGGTTTAATCCACTTAATGGATTAATAATTTGAAAGGACGTCTGTACAAGGGGGTAACTATACGCAAGTGGAGTGTAACTGGAGGAAGCAGGTCACTGCAGGCTGCCCTCGAAATTACATTTTAACCCTGGCACCTTATTTCCTCTGCTTCCAGGTGGCTGTGAGCTGAGCAGCTTTCCTCCACCACGCTCTTCCGCCACGACGTTCTGCCTCACCTCAAGTCCCCCCGTGGAGCTGGCCAACCAGGAACCACACCTCTGAAACTGTGAGCCCAAAGTAAACTTTTTTATCCCCTCCAAGTTGTTCTCATCAGGTATTTTAGTCACATCAACAAAAGCTGACTAACACAATGTCTAAAAAAGGAAAGTGACCCTCTTACATCATAAGACCTCCGTCATGTAAACACCATTCAATGTCACTTGTGGCGGGAACATCATACACTCCCTGATCTAAAAGATGGCACCACAGTCCTAAGAGCCTCTTCCCATCTCCGGCAGCCAAAGACAGTCACAGTTGTGCTAGCCAGAAACTATGGAAAAAATATAAAATAAACAGTATGACCTTGATCTTCTCTTTTTAAAGGACCCAACATGCAAACCACTAAAAGAATCACTAATTCAATAACAATTTTTTTCGCTTAAAAAAAATCACGTTTTTCTCATATTATCAAAAGAAGGAAGGAAGGAAGGAAGTCCAGTCTGGCTAAAGAGAGAGAAATCACCAAATTTCAGTTCAAATAGCAGAGCCTGGGATTAATTTTTAAAGATTTATTTGTCAATTTCAAAAACTCACTAGTGGAATAAAGAGCTTAATACAGGTATGCAAAGAGGAAGCCCCGAGGTGAGCCGTTGTTCACCAGGATGAAACGGGATTAGCTTTGTAGTTCTTATAATCTTCTTCACAGAAGAATGCAATTTCTGTTTCGCTGGCTGAAAAAAAGAGAAACAGAAAATGGAAAAGAGATTTTAATGTAAAACTAAATTTTAAACAAGTATGGAAATCCGCATTACTTTGGTTTGGCATTTTGGAATGGTTTCAGACGCCTGCAATGAAAAATATCAGTTAGTTGTTGGGTGATACAATACATTTCATCAAATCAGCAAGAAGTTTTAGGTGTAGTTGTAAGAATCTAAAAATCAAATAATTAAAAAAAATAAAATAATTTAAAAGTCGAAAGAAAAATAACCTGCAAAATTAAAATCCAGAGTTAACACAAGAATTAAGATTTTTCAGAAAATCATGAAATCGCTTATTTATAGTCTTTGCAGTCCTGGAAACTAACAAACCTTGATATTTTTTCCAATATGCTACTCAGTTCCTGAGGGGGGAGGGACTCTCCCCTCCCTGAAATTAGCCCGTAGGTATAATAATTTAATAGTTAGAGGATCAGTAGAATATTTTACAGATCACTTTACATTCTCCCTCATGACCCATCAAAATATGTGTCTGAAGAAGTTAATTTTTTGCCCTGCTTATGATTAATTCATGAGGCTTCAACAATATGCAAAGTGAAAGACACAAATTGGCTTCTACCGCAATACCTTCAAATACCTCTAATTATTCACTGGGGAGATGGCACAGCTAAAGGACCCACAAAGGTTCAGAGCAGTCACAATTCTTTCAACCTAGCAGGTCAAGGACTCCATCTTCTAAAACAATAAGTCAGCAACATTATTAATTCAGACTGGAGACAAATCTGATGGAAAGCCTTCCAATTTATTAAACATGCGATTCTTTAAGGTGTTGCGCCAACAAGTTCCACATTGGTTTTTTAAATTAAACCAAAAGTTAATACAGTCTGCTTGGCTTTTACAGAAAGAGCAAAAGGGCCTTTGGAATCCTGAGGGAAAACAGAAGAGATTATTTGTAATGAATACTGAGTATGCAATTAACATATACTCTAAAAACAGGCAAGTAAAACTCTTCAAGCCAAATAAATACGATGATAAGAAGGGTGCCATGGATTACCACTGGTGTGTGGTTTACAGCTCTAATCGCATCATTAGAACTTATCACAAAAGAATGAAATTAACGAGATTAGCATGTCATCTCATTAAAAATGTTTTTACCATTTGCAAGAATATCAAATGGAGTCTTTCTCCATCATAAGCTACTGTGCTCACTATAGAAAACAAACACATGTTCAGAGAAAAAACCAAAATGATGTTTTCAGTGCCTACTATGTCTTCAAGATTAAATTTAATCTGAGTAGATGAAAATCAGATCACAAACTCTTATCCCAGTGAGACTGTGGGGGAGACATCAGAGAGAATGGGAACCAATGAGGAGGGGCTGTAAACAGAGGCACCCTGAGCAAACAGGTAAGTGTGCAGGACAGTTTTACAAGAAAGAGCATTTAAAAGAATGGGGAAGGGGCTCCACACTTGAAATCAGCAACATATTGAAAAGGGGGCATCAGAAAATTCAATATTCAAAGAAGATATTTAGAGAGCGATCTTTTTAACAAAGAGCTCAATGGGTTTCCTTTTTGAAAGGAGGTGTGCTCAGAGGTAGATGTAGGTAATTTGCAATAATGGAGAACGAACAAGAGGGACCCTCTTCCTGAAAAATCACAGATCGAGGCTTTATCTGTGATGTGTTATTTACACATGGAACTTTACACAGTTTTTGCCCGGCCAGCACTTGGCTCAAGCCACGCTCCCTGTAATTACAATTTTCACTTACTGCAGTTGACATTTATCTGTACTCCTTTTGAGAAGCTAATATGTCACGCAGATCTGCAGTACAGGAAGAGCAGGTTCAGAATAAGCTGACAGAAAGCAAAGACTGACAATGCAGTTTTGTTGCGATGAGTCTAATTAACTTAGAGAGCGACTTGTTATTTATATAAAGTATTGAGGCCATCTCTCATAGGCGCCAAATGAAATCATCCAGGGTAATGATTTTATTTTCATATGAGTCTGTTCTTTTTTCAACAAAGCTAGGTTGACAAATGGGTTAAACTCAAAAATTCAAGGTGATTAAAAAAAATGCTCACCCTTATATTGGAAAACATACACATTCCAAGTTTCTCTGAAATTCAAAAAATATAAAACAAAATGGATTTTAAAACTTCAATGACAGAAGTAGTAATGTTTTTAAATCCATTGAAAATATTAGAGAATGATTTCCTGGATGTAATACTGCAAATTTATTTGCTGATTTAAGTGAAAACAAGTTACAAATGATTTTCAAGACCTTTACACAATGGCTCTTTTCACCATTATCCCTTACACTCGTGCTGCCCAAATTCTATTTAAAATGGCTTCTTTAAAAATGGTGGGGGAAGAACCCTCAGGAAGTCTAGCATGTGGCGGTCCCCTCGGGCACCTGGTTTTAAATTAAATGTGCTGCAGGCGGCAGTGCGGTCAGGTGCAGAGCGCCTTGGCATGGGAATCTGAAATGAATGTGCAATCTAAAATCCAATAAATACATCACCACTTCATCCCTTCGTCTTACTATCAAATGAAATCAAGTCAGAGCCCTCCAAATGCATTTGTGGATCAGTTTAATACTGATGTTCTAGTTTAATGAAATGAACACAAGTCAGGACATCTGAACTTTGGCTATGAAATTAACAATTATATAATGCTTCCTAACGGGTCAGACAGACAGGCAGGTGCACGCACGAGTACACACACACACACACACACACACCATTTAACAGGAAAATAGTTAACAATGACTTGAAAACAAGAAAAAATAATTTTAAGTGGGTAATCCCAAAATAAGTTAAATGCAATGTCTTTTAACTCCTTCACTATCTCAGTGAACTTATCTACTGACAAGGATTCGCTGCTTGCTTTTTAAGCCTCAAGCTGGTTGGCCCCAAAGTAGTATAAGGGTCAGCCCCTGTGGGCTAGGGAAAGGAAACCAAGAAGTGTGCACTGGCTTTGTGGTGTGATCAGGACAAGCTGTCATGTGGTAATCACTGCAGATTTTTAAAAATTATACCACGGGTGTGTGTGTGTGTGTGTGTGTGTGTGTGTACTTAAAGGAGATTCATGGGGCAATCTGAGACCAAATCTGAAACAAAGTTTCACCCTCTGCCCTGCTCCAGGAATCCACCATATCTTTCCAAACTCCACAAAACCCCAATCTACAAATCAAAGAGATGCTCTGAGTTCTATTTCAAAGTTTTCACCAAAGAAGCTCACAATCCAGTAAAGAGAGCAACTCCTGTGCTCTTCTTGTCATACCTGCTTTAAAGTGTTTTGGATCAACTGGTAAGAGATACCAAACTACAGACCTAAGAAAACAAATGGTAAAAACTGACTGGACTGACTGAGCATGTGCCTGCAATTTCCATAGTGGCAAGAGGAAAGTAAAATGGGAAGGACAGTCATACACACAGTGGAATATTATTCAGGCATAAAAGGGTGAAATCCTGTCATTTGTGGCAACATGGATGGAATTGGAGGACATTATGTTAAGGGAAATAAGCCAGGGACAGAAAGAATAGGCAGACAAATACTATATATTCTCACATGTGGAAGCTAAAGAATGTTTTTATAGAATTAGAGAGTAAAACTGGGTGGGAAATAGGTTAGGGAGAGATTGATCAATGGGTATAAAGTTAGTTAGGTAGACGGAATAAGTTCTAATGTGCTAAACCCAGTATGGTGACTGCAGTTAACAACAATTTATTGTATATTCCAAAATGGCCTGAAGAAAAGATTTTGAATGTTTCTACCCAAAGAAGACATAAATGTTGGAGGTAATAGATGTGCTAATTACCCTGATTTGATCATTACATGTTATACATATGTATCAAAATATTCATTTTTACCATCAATATGTACAATTATTGTCAAAGATAATTTTTAAAAATGCAAAAAATAAATAGAAGCCAGGGAAGAACAATCTGTGCAGTGCATTCTGACTCCTTGTTCTGAAATCACTGATTTCTAAGCAAGTCAACTGTTACAATGAACATTGTTGTTACAATGTCAGCATGAAGAGGAGCCACTTGGGGCTCTGTCAAAGAAGAAAATGAGGACGCCTCAAGATAGGGAAAAGGCCCAAACCTTAAGGAAACACAAGTCAAACATGATCCTGATAAAGAAGCAGGAAGAAAAGAAACCTGTCTTAGCCACATGGAGGAGAAAACCAGAGATGTGATGCACAGGACCAGGTTCTAGTCGGGGATAGATGACAGGAGCAAAATGAAAACAGACCACGAGGGGGTTTTGGAATTATTACAGGGACAACTGGCTTGACAACAACTCTTTCCTCAAATAAGTGCATACAGTCTGGCCTACTGTAACTTGCTTTAAAACATTTCCAAGAAAACACAACTGGCTTGAGAAAAATTTCTCTGCCACAATTTCTTTCTTATACCAGAGTGGATTCAAAAGATAAATAGTAGCAGGATGCAGCAAAATGAAAGAGATAAAATATCTCCCACCCCACAACTTACCTGCAATTTATTACTTAGAAAAATTAATCCATAAACTATTGTTAAAAACAAGATAAAAATTTTTCTATCTTAAACAACATTTCTAGGTAAAATTCTCCTCTCTCTTCCTTCCACAAAGGAAATTGTTTTTATTTATGTATTTCTGCACCAGGGTAAGACGTGGACTACACAGTGGGGATCTGTGGTGCAGATGAAAGACTCTGAAAGCAAGTTTCCCCCCTGATTTTCCCCTCCCAGTCTTTCTTTCCCTTTCATGACTCCTGGAGAAGAGTCATAATGATAAATTTGTTACACTGGCATTATTCCCATGGCAACTGGCTGTGATAGCAGAGTGACAGCTCTCCAGCAAGATCAAGTGGTGAAAAGGGAGAGAGGGATGACTTCGAATTTTTCTCTTAAACCTCTTAGAAACCTAATCAGATACAGCACGGAGGGAGGGAGGGAAAATTCCCTAGAAAAATCACATACTTCAAGTATCACGGTCTTTGTTTCTTTGTGGTTTTGGTGTGGTACTTGGGATTAAAGTCAGGCCTACACATGCTAGGAGAGTGCTCTCCCACTGAGCTACATCCCCAGGTCTTTTTATTTCATTTTTAGAGAGGGTCTCAGTAAACTTCCCAGGCTGGCCTTGAACTTGAGATCTTCCCACCTCAGCTGTGATCACAGGTGTGCACCTCCATGCCTGACTCTCAGTTATCATTTTTTGCAACCCAGTTCCTACTAAGAATTGTCTGTTGCTCTCTGGGGATCCTCATTTCTTTGCCTGGGTACCACCTTGGCTTGTTGCCAGGAGGACAGCAACAAGCTGCTAGGAAATAACAGAGGAAACAGCTCCTGGCAGGGACTGAAGTCACGCCATGGCCAAGGCCACTGCTCTGCCTGGGTCTCAGGGGCGGTCTGCTCCCCATACCACCCTGACCCAAGTGGAGAAACCATGAAAAGGATCTGAATCTGATCAAAGTTCTGTGGCCTGAAAACAAGAATGACGAAAAGAGGGATTTGATTCTTGCTTTTAAAGTTGGTTCGTTACATAAGTCAGTCTGAAATAAATGAGAACAAGGCAAACTCTGTCCTAGCAAATTCAAAATATTTGCCAAATGCCATCTCCAAAATGGGTTCCAAATAAAATAGTTATTTTGTAGGGCCTTTTCCATGCATTGTCCTGGACACCTTCATTCTTTTCAATCCGTATGAAACCTTCTGAAAGAGGTTTCATTATTCACATTTATACAGAAAACAAAACTGAAGTTCAGAGAGGCCTAGTGGCTTAATCACAAAGCAAGTGATTAGGGATTTATTATTCTTTTGAAAAACTGGTTCCTTAATTATAAGGAATACTTATAAACTATGAAAAAATTTGCAAATCCCAATAATCATATTAAGATAATACAGAGAAGAAAGGAAAAACTCAGTTTACTGATGATACCACCAACCTGAGAAAGCATTTCTATAATTGTGGTATATGATCTTTTCTCTGTGTACAAATACAAACATGTCTATGGATACATTTCCAAATGATAATGGTAATGCACATTATTCTTTGCTATATAAAAATTCCTGTGTCAGTGATTCACAAACAGGGAAGGTAAAAGAGAACCCCACCATCCCTCTGAAGGCAGACCACAACCTCAGAGTTTGAAGAAGCACATATTTGATTTAGTAACAAACACAAGAGAATGTTCAACTTGATTTACGGAACATGAGAGGCAACATACATTCCCAACAGTGGTACTGAGAACACCATTTCCTTACACCAGGGGCTCCCCTGGGTACTGCATTTTTTTTTTCACAACCGCTAATCTTGTACTAACTGCTACTTGGCCAAGGTCACCCAGAGAGAAGCAGAATCGAGGTCTGACCCCCACACGCTGGCTCTGGGCTGTTATTCGTAACCACTAGACCATAATAAAAAGCAGTGTCTATTTTAATGTGCATCCCTCATCACCAATAAGGTACAAATGTTTTTCCTATGTTAGCTATACCTTCTATCAGATTTCGTATCCTTTCATACTAATACAAGAGTTCTTTACAAAAGTCTGGCTAATAACTTTATCTTTCATTTATGTTTCACATAATTTTCATAGTTTATTGTTTTTCCTTTAATGGTTTATAATTTGGGGGGATTTATTTGGTCAAATCTCTTGCTTTCCCCTTTGATGGCGTTGGCCTTTGGAGTCATGTTCAGAAAGCTCTTCTCTCTCCAATATTAGGTTATCACTGAGCTGCATATTTTGTTTTCTTAATTTTTACAGTATAACATTTACTTCATCTAGAATTCATTTTGGAATAAAGACTGAGATAAAATTTGAAATTTATTTTCCTGAATATTTTGGCAATGGACCTGATGTAATTTTCTGGTTAATTCAATCTTTTCCCATTTATATGAGATGTCAACTGCATCATCTTGTTAAAAATCTTACCTTTCTTTCTTTTTTTGGTTTGTTTTTTGCATTTTCTAACCTTTTCCATGGAGCTATCTGCCAATTCCCACAACAAGGCCAGTCTATTATATTCATTATAACTTTATGCTTTAAAGACAAACAGGGCTACCCCTAGGTGCCACATGTCTCAATAACACAGGAGCCACCTGATACAATAATGTAATAACATTTGAAGAAATAAGTGCCAATTAAATAATGTTTTTCAAATAACAATCCATCTCACATATTTATTATAGGGAACGACACTGATCCTAGCAAATAGCACAGACTTATACACTGAAACAAGTCTGATTTTACAACCTGCCATGTAAAATTCTATTTAAATAGAAATGCCCATGTCAGAAATTCACATTATTCACGTGAATCATTTCAAAAGTGAATTCCTGCTGGGTGAGGTGGTGTACACCTATACTCCCAGCAACTTGGGAGGCTGAGGCAAGAGGATCTTAAGTTTGAGGCCAGCAAGAACCTGTCTCAAAATATGGATATTTTATAAAAGGACTGGGGTTGTAGCTCAATGGTAAAAACACTCCTGCATTTAATCCCCCATTAAAAAGAAAAAAAAAAACTCAACAGAATAAAACAAACAAACAAAAAATGTACAGGTTCCCAGTGTGGACCTCACCTTGCATGTTTTGAAGGAAGTGTGATTTGTGACGTTGCATCATGGTCACAGACCACAGAGGTGTGTCAGTGACACAATGCCTTCACCTGCTCAGACCTCTGTGCTAATCTGTACTCCTCTATTGCCAGATCAGCTTAAGGTGACCGTGTAAGTAGAATAACAGTGACATCTAATGGCCACAAGATACGTCACATAACATTTTTTAAAAATTGGAACTATACACACATTCTAGGTTTAATAGTTAAATCAGGCAATTCTTCAACTGCACACACTAGGTCCCTATTTAAAATTCTGTGCCTTGGTCAGCCCTGAGTGACTTGGATGACTATCAGAAGCCACAATGCACGTTATACAAACAACATCTCATTTCATTATTCCACATTAGTTCTACTACGTCCATTTCTCTCAAACCATTGGCTCGAATGACACTGATGAGAGTAAGTAGACATGGTACTAACAGCCTGTCAATCATTTAAAATGACCCTCAACAGGATTCTGAGCAAACCTTCTGAACGAACTATTTGCATTTTGCACATTTGGTGAGAAGATAACGACTGCCCTAGGTCAAATGATCAGAATGTGTTTTCCTCTTCCTTTGAATAGGGATGGGAGAGTATGAAGAGCAACAAGCGGCATTCAGATCACAGGGAGTCATCAAATATAACCAGCCAGGCCTGGCCACATAGGCCAGGAATGTGAGTGCCCCTTCAGCAAGATCATTCCCCTTCCTCACCAATTCCGGCTGCTTTCAGGGTGCTGTCTTCTTTTAGCAGGAGTCTGTCATCATCTTCCAAACTCAACACCAGTTCATTTGTCTAAAAAGAAAGAAAACATGCATTTCATCAATACTGATATGCTTCTGCATTCAGCAAGACTTCCCAAAGAGGTGGAGCTGAAGTTGGAGTCACAGTAATAATCCAAGTCACATCAAGTTACATTCTACTCCCTTAATGGCATTAAGGGATACACAGTGCAGACCTACTAAGTGCACACACTGTGCACTGTGACAGCCCTGGCTTTCCAGTTAGAGGTGGGTTCAAATCCAGACTCCCCCAGCACTCAGCTGTGTGCAAACAAACTACATAAACTAAGATTCAGTTTCCTCATCTCTAGAAAGGGGGAAGAGAAATGTACCTTCTTCTTTACCTCCTGCTAACTTATTTTTATTGAATAAGTTAATGAATGAAATAAAATGTCAGTCTTTTATGATTGCTCAGTTTCTATCATATTTCGAAAGACTTCTCCACTGCAAGATTATGTTTTAAATTCCATGTTTTCTTCACATATTTTTATGAATTTCATTTTTAAAACTTTTAATTGTGGAGAAATTCAAACATATAATATATATAGAAGAGTGTAATGAATTCCGCCCCATACCCATTACCCAACTTGAACAAATTATCAACTCAGGTTCAACCTGTTTCTTCTCTAACCTCATCTATGAATTTAAATTTTACATGAGTCATTAAAACAATGGGGATTTATTTTGGCATAAAGAAAAAGATAGGAATTCAACTAGTCTTCTAGATGTCAACCCAGCTATTTCAATACCATTTACTGAATCCTCCATCTTTTGTCCATAGATTTGAAATGCCATATTTACTATACACTAAATTTACATGTATATTTGAGTCCATATTTGGATTTTTAATTCTGTGCCACTAAACTACCAGTTCATGTGACAGTACCACACAATGTTAATTATTAGAATTTTATAATAATGTCTTAATATATATTAGGGCTAATCACTCATTTTTTTTCAGAATTCTTCTCTTCTTACTTTTAATGTATTAACTTTTTAATAAGCTTCTATAATTTACATATATGCAACTATTAGTACTTTATCGAGGTACTATTAAAATTGTAAATTAACCAAGAATTGACATCTTCATACTATTGCACGTTCCTATCCAAAATATCATAAATATTTCTGTGTAAGTCTTATTTTGGATTCCTCATAGTATATTTCACTTTTTTGTTGTTGTTGTTAAACTAAAGTGGAATTTAACATAATAAAATGCATAGATCTTAAGAGGAGCTTACTTTATGAGACTGAATAATTATTCCCAGAGTTTGGATTCATTTTTCAAGTATGTTTGTGGTGAAGATGGGAAAGAACAGTAGCATTTAATTTTCTTCTGGGTTTGGGGTGTAGCTCAGTGGTACAGTACTTGCTTAGCATGTGTGAGGCCCTGGGTTCAATCTCTAGCACAATAAATTAATAATAAAAATTTCCTTCTTGAAGATTTTGCACATTTCTTACACAGTTTATTCGAGGATATGATTTCTTCCTTTAATAAGGATAGCTATTTGATTTCCAAACCCACAAAATGTAAGATGGAGATCAAAGTTTTTATTTCAAATCTTTCTAGCAAAAATTATTCTCACTATAATATAAACAGCCTACTGATTACAATCCATAATACTCATACACACATTTTTATGAATTTCTTGATAATCATAGCACAGTAATATTATGATAATCATTTGCATTCTACTTTTATTCATTCACTAAAAGACACTTAGCTCATAGTCCAAACAGGAGGCTTAGTTAGGTGGGCAGGGATCCAGACAGCCTTTTTATTGTGGTGATAAGAAGAAATTTTTGAGGACACCTGGTAATTGCAATTAGGAAAGTCTCTAGACCCTTATGTGAACGAGTTTATTAAGGGTTAGCTGGAAGTCTCTCGCTTTGGCTGAGGAAAGAAATTAAAATTCCAACTGGCCTAGAAAACTGACAAGCTTGGCCAGAGATGCTATAGGCCTTGCAGACGGAAATAGAAGATAAAAAGACAGCAATCACTTGGAAATGAGAAAAATGTCCTGTAGTCATATAAGGCACCAATAAGAACATGTAGGTGAAGTTTTTCTGAAGTTTTAAAACTGTATCTGTAAAAACAGATGTTATCTTTTAGAAGCTTCAAGAAGCCTTTCCAGGGTACAGAGTCTGGACTTGGATTGTTACGGTTAAATGAAGTTTTATAAAGCCAGAGTCCAGAAACATTCTAAGTGACTTCATTTGTTTTGGGGATCTACCAAATAATTAAACAAATTATTTGTTCAACTGAAAAAAAATAGTCCTAATTTTGAAACTACAGCTGGTCTTCTGTATGGAAGGTTGGTCATCTGCAAAGTCAATCAGCTGCAGGCTGAACACATGGTTTGGACTATGCTGATTGCATCTGTACTGAACGTGTGAAGACTTTTTTCTTGACATTATTCCCTAAACAATATAGTATAACAATCATTTACAGTGCATTTACATTGTATTAAGTATTATAAGTAAACTAGAAATGAGTCAAAGTGTATGGGAGAACACACATAGGTTATACACGAATACTGTACCATTTTATATAAGGAACATGGAGAATCTGTGGCTTTTGGTATCCACAAGTGTCCTGGAACCAATCCTGAGGGATGACTCTATATATAACACACCAGGGAAAGACATGCATTTTAAGTGTAAATAACACTGCTAAGATTTTTTTTTCTTCTAAGTTTTTATTTCAAATTTTTTTTTCCTGAAGGAAAATTTTTTAAAAATATTTTTTACATATACTACTGATTATTTGAACATGATGAACATGGTCTTCATTACAAAGAATGAAGAATTTGCCAATTCCTCTTTCTAGGAAACATAAGCTTACAAGCAAGACCAACAATTTAAAATTAACACTGAATGGAGAATGACATGCACAATTTGCTTTGCAACTTTTTCCAAGAGCATATTGCTTCATTTCAACTTTATTTATATTTTTATAACAAATTTACATATGTTTATTCCATATAAAATAGAACCACAGTTGCTCTTCTCTACATTTTAGGGACCAAGTTGAAAACATTTCAGACCTGGAGAAGAGAAAATGGTTGAAGTCTGTGGCCAGATATAGTGGCAGAACTTTCTAGTACTCAAAGGAGGGGAAGATGCCACACTTGATCCCTGACACCTGTGAGAATGAGGTACTTGACAATGGATATGATAAAATTTGCACATACAAAAGAAAAATCCCACAAAGTTACTAATCCAGAGGCAACAGACATACCCTCTTTGTGATCTGTGGCATACATCTTTTTGAAAGCTGATTGAGTTCATGGAGTATATCTATGACTACACACAGAATGAAACAAAATGAACTTTATAAATACTTCATTCAAAACTTGTTTTGGAAAAACTCCTGTGAACCAGGCATTGCCCAAGGTACTGGAGATACAAGAGGCATACAGAATAAGACATGGTCCCTTGTCCCTGTGTGAACATCATAGGGAAGGCCACTAAGAAAAAAGATTGCTCTGTAATGAGAAGTAAACCTTTGATTGTGGCTTAATAAAACATGACTAAAGTAAGAAAAGAGCAATGTAAACATATGGTACACACACAAACAGCTAAAGGACAGAATTCAGATTGCAGATGGCGCCCTCTGTAGAGTGAGCTGTGGTCCTGAACCTTCTCTTACAGCAAGCACCAAGGCAAGCAGATCCTCTGGGTCAGCTTCTAGCCCAGTTCTTCTGTGGACTTAAGAAAGTCAAAGAGACTAGACTGACAGATAATAAGTGGCTTCCTTATATTTCTTTATTGTTTTATGTTTATGTTATATAAATATACGGGATGCTTTGTGTGTGTGTGTGTGTGTGTGTGTGGTGCTGGGGATTAGAACTCAGGGCCATGCAAAGCAAGCACTCTATTGAGCTATATCCCCAGCCCTGGTATGCTTTATTTTATTAACACTTTTTAAAAGAATCTATGAGCAGGTATATACAGATTAGTTTTTTTTGTTTGTTTGTTTGTTTGTTTAATTCTCTAATCAGAAAGTAAGGCTATAGAAAGAGTACCTATAAGATAAAAAATGCTATTATAATGGAAAAGACTTACATGCACATTCACTTACTCACCAGTTCAACTAATATTGATTACTGCTAAGTGCCAGATACTGCACAAGTGGAACGTACCTTTGATTTATGTGCTTGGTGAATAATCTTCAGTTTATCTGAAAGAAAAAAGCAAATTGTCTCTTTACACAGAATATTCTAAGACTTCTTTTGACATTATTAGAGAGACAAATGAGTACCTATGAAATTGAGAAATTCTAAGTTCTTTATAATTTTATGAACACATTTACTTAAAAATCTGTTATAGAGTAAAAGGAAATTTACTTTTGAAAATCATTAAAATTAAAGATAAAATTAAATTTTAAATTAAATTTTAACATTTAATTAAAATTAAGGGAGCTGAGGGTGTGCAGCTCATTGGTAGAGCACTTGCCCTACATGTAGGAGACCCTGGGCCCCATCCCCAGCACCAGAAAATCACACACACACACACACACACAAAGATAAAAGTACACAGAGAAGCCAGGTGTGGTGCTGTATGCCTCTAATCTCAGTGACTTGGGAGGCTGTGGCAAGAGGATCACAAGTTTGAGGCCAGCCTCAGCAACTTAACAAGATCCCATCTCAAAAAATAAAAAAGCACGGGATGTAGCTCAATGGTAAAGCACCCCTGGGCTTAATCCTTGGTAACAACAACAAAAAAAAAGTACACAGATATTTTAAAGCCTTGGGCTTTGACACACAACTGTATGTGTGTGTGTTTGTGTGTGTGAGAGATAACCTGAAGTCACCTCGACTCATTTTTTCCTTTGAACAGAAGACAAGCAAATCACATTACTCCATTTTGTTTTTTAGAGTCACTAAATTTTAAGATTAGCAGATAATATCAAAAATTACATCTATATAATCTTATCTACAGGTTTAATTTTATGCATTTGTATTTATATATTATCTATAATCATTTATGTATTACATATAATCACATTTACATAGTATATATAATTATATTTATATATTATATATAAAAATAATGACAGACAGTAACAAAGGCAGTTTAAAAAACTATTAAGCTCTCAGGAGGTTCAATGATCATGCTGAAAAAGTGTGACTGTTCTTAGATTTCTAACATTACCTGGGATCACCAGTAATCTAAGCAGGGCTGTTAATGACTAAAAAATACCAAGATCTGCTTCTTGGTTTTCAAATACTGCACAGGCTTCCATGGTCCAGTATGTTTTATTCAAACCCAATTTCATTCTTTAATCGGTTTATCCTGAAGTCAGGCCACAAGGTCCTTTTGCAACAGGCAATTTCTTCACACTTGGATAACATTCTAACTGAGATAATCAGCCCCTAATTACATAGCAGATGTAGCCATTCAACATGTTTAAATTCCAGAAGTTTCTGATTCTTTACTCAGTTTTATTCAGCCATTTATTGACTAAATTATAACTTTATCTGAATAAGCTCTAAAACTTACACTAAAATTCATTTCTATCAATAATGCTATAACAAGAAATTCCAATACTGATATGAAATAAAAGGATATTATTTTTTTAAAGACCTCAATTCAACTATGTTGTCTTAGTGCTGAAGAAAGAATAGGGTACCAATCACCTAGTTAAGAACTGGCACTCGACATTACCGATTATTTTAAATAGTCAACTTTCAACTATCCAATGCAATTTTTTAATTGCGATTTTAAACAAGACCTATACCCTACAACTATATTTTTAAGAAAATAAATAAATTTAACCAAGTAAAATATGCACATCAGGAATGTAAACATGCCACAGATGCTAAAAATAAAATTACAATGGACATGAGAACATAAACAAATGTGACTTTTGGATTATCTATTATTCTGAGTTGCCTATTATATTCTCTTTCTCACTATGAATAGGTATTGGTTTATTACTTGAGACAAGTTAGAGAAGTCAACAGTAATTTTTTTAATAAAAGAGGCTTAAAGTCTGTTATAATCAAGCTGCAAAACTACAGTTTGACCTTATAAATATTAATCATGTTCTATATATTTTGCTAATAAGCCTTTGAATTTGAAATAACTTTGCTCTAATAGATCCAGCAAACCCACAATAGGAAGTCTACATTTAAAAGAAAGAAAGAGAGAGAGAAAGAAAGAGAGAAATGCTGTGATTGGAAAAGTTCACCTGATTTTTCTCCCCGACACAAATTGGCAGGACCCAAGAGGAGGACAAGGAAGGAAAAAGGACATGCTAGCAAAAGATGTTGTATTAATGTCTCTTTCTTTGTTGAATAATCTCCTTTACTTGTTTTAACTTCTTAAAAAACAGACTCAATTTTTTTAGACTTGCTATTAACAAAACAACATCTGTGGGCATTGTTTTCTTAATGCAAATTCCTTGAGGAAAGGAACCTTACATCATTTGTTTGGGGTACATTTAACAAGCTGGCCCGTGCATAATTTAATTTCACACAGCCTCATGAAACAGGCAGGGATTAGCAGCCACATGCTGTACATCAATCAACATTAATGTGTGCACAAATGTATTACGTCTAGGTAGTAAGGATTTAAAAATAAGTAGCATGAGTGGTTAAATCAATAATAGATGATGATGAAGACAATTAAATGGAAGAAGGGGTTCTGAGAAATCTCAGACAGTGGGTGGCCAAGACCACAGCCCTCTGCCCAAAGGCACAGAGACAGTAACTACTTTACACCCTTTCTACTCCCCACCACCCAAAACAGTGTTCTATTCCCAGGGGCCATGCAGCATACTGAGGACAATGACAGGTGAAAAGCAACACTCTAGCCTTCCTGCTCAACACAAAGCAGCAGATTGTTAAAGAGCCAAACTCAAAGAAAGAACCACCTGAAGTCTATCAAAACACTAGTGGTTCTATAATTTCTTCTCTGACAAATGTATTAGCTTTTTCTGCCAATTCACCTGAATATACAGAAACACCAGGATGAAAGAGCGTTAATGAGATGGGATAAGCTAAAAGGTACATTATCTACCCCAATGCTGCTTAGCGACTCAGATACTCTGATGCTTTCATTATTTAAAATTTATCTTTTGAAATAACTTGCATGGAACACAGGTTTGCATATAGATACACACACCATGCAAAAAGGGAAACCATATGTAACTATTCTAATTTGAAATGGCATCTGTAGGTTGATTCAAGTTTAAGGTTATATTTCAGGGCATTACACTTCAAAAGCCATGAAAGCTACAATTGAGAAGTTTCATATTTACCTTAATCATGCTTTTTATTCCTTTCTCTTATTCAATATTGAGTATGTAAATTCTTTAGGGCAAATAAATCAAAGTACTTTCCACTCAGTGCCTTCAACTTCTGCTTGACTACCCCTTATGACCTCACAATTAGTCTCTGGATATTAAAATGCAGACGCACGGAGAAGATTGTGATTTCAAAGGACTGTAGGTCACGAGCTGCCCTATCGAATGGGAACAGAATGAAAAGCCACTCCAAAAAAATGATCTAAAGTAATAAAAAATTTATGCTTTAAAATGTCTGCACCAATTAACAGAAATATGCATTAGGTGCACCATAACTTTCAAATACAGTCTCGAATTCAAGTCTGCTGAATACCATATTTATAGTGAATAATTACAACCAGCTTTTTACTATACTTTTAAATAACCAGTTGCATCATATAAAACTACTACATCATATTGAAAATATTAAACTCTTAGTCCTCATTTTTCCTTCTGATTCCCTGCAAAGAAACACATCTTAGATATAGTTTTGCCAGACATGCTATTCTTCACCTATATAGCACTTCTCTATAAAATTACAATAGACCTTAACAATATTCTAGAATTCTTATATTCCTAAATAAACTTCCAAAATGGTTTTTATTTGCAGATAGTAAATTCATTTTTGAAAGCCAAATGTGAATTTGTGTCAACAAAAAACTAATGCCAAATTATATGAATATACATATTTAAAGAAAAAGAAAAATCAGTTACCATATTTATAATTTCTGAATGGTGGTGGAAGGCTGGTTCTCAAAGGGACATCTACAAGAGAAAGAATGTTTTTATTATAAAATATTCAAATAGCACACGTAGTCTTTTGGTTCTTTTCGCCTACATCCACAGACTAGGTTACTTTGAAACAACTGACAGAGACAAAAATGGCAGCAAAACATCCATGGGCCAAGGAAGACAAGGGCACCATCAAAAGCTGCTGAGCAGTTCCTAATGAAACGCAGGCACACGCAATTAGAAGAATCAGTACTCTAGCCAATGCAACAGTCTCGATATGCCCTTGAAACCTGTAAAATGAATCTATGAGACAAAGTTGATGTTTGTTTAACATGTGAATCCAAAAACCCCTTGAGGATCTTCGGCCATTACTGGGAACCAATGATCTAGAATAATCTTCATACTCTTATCAAAATTCAGGCAGCCTACAACATGAATCCTCTAACTCATCAAAGAAAACTAAACAAAACAGAATAAATATTATTTTAAAAACATCTCAAATATCACATATGTTACTAATGACACAACCCCTACAGAGGGCAATTTGGTAACACGTATCAAAATTACATATGTGTATACGCCTTACTCTAGCCCATTCCACTTTTTTAGGAATTGATCATAGAGATAATGACATATATTCAAGAGATCCAACTGCAGCATTATTCTCAGTAGCAAATGTTTAGAAAATTCCAAATGCCCTTCAATGAGGTACTCTTTAAATAAATTATAATATGCACAAACAATAAAATATATTTTTTCAACTGTGGGGAAAAAAAGGAAGGAAGCTCTCTATTAATATAAGATCCTCAAAATATGTCAAGGGTAAAGAGTTGCAAGGAGAACGTTATTTTTGGTAAGCCACTTTTAGTAAGCAGTAAGAAGGTAAAATAAGAATAGTTGTTGGTGTTTGCTTGAACGAGCCTGAGGGGTGAGAGGCCCCTGCACTGGTCAGAGAGGAACAGAAGGAGGCAAAATTTCCATCATGGTTCTTTCTACATTTTGATCTTAAAACCACATAAATGGTTACTTATTGAAGAAAACGAAACAACAAAACCCACCTGTCTGAATTCGGAAATGTGTTGTTTTATTTTCAAGATGTAACTCATTCTTTTATTCCACAAGTATTTTAAAATTAGTCCCATGATGGGCCCAGGCCCCAGAGCAAACAAAACCAACAAGGAATTTGTGTTTTTTAAGTACCCATGCCTCTTAGAGATGAAATATATACTCAAATTAAAATATGCTTTATTTATTTACGCTATAAGCATTTCAAGTGCCTACCACCAGGCAGTCCAGGTACAGGATAAATAAGCAATTACCAAGAGAAGTTCCCAGTCATGAAAGTCCTCGTAGCAGGCTGACCCAGGGCACAGATGATACAATCCCTATGGAAACACCAAAGATGTCCTTCGTAGAAACACAAAAACCAATACTAAAATTCACTTGGAATCACAAAAGCCCCCAAATAACCAAAGTAATCTTGAGCAAAAAGAACAAAACTGGAGACATCACATTCCCTGACTACAAAATATACCATAAAGCTATAGTAATCCAAAGAGCATGGCACTAGCACAAAAACAGACACATAGACCAATGGAACAAAATAGCCTAGAAATAAATCCAGGCACTTAACACCAACTGATTTTTGAGAAAGGTGCCAAGAATACACATTGGGAAAAGGATAGTCCCTCATAAATGGTGCTGGGAAAACTGGCTATCCATATGCAGAAGATGTTTAAACACACACAAAAAAAATCCTTCTGAAACATCTTTTAGTTGAATATATTCACAGGACCAGATAGGTAACCATGTCACTGGACCCAAATTAGTCTGCTTGCCACACACTGGCCAAACAAGTCTAGAGATATGGTATTGAGAAAGGAGGAGACTTTATTCTAAAAAAAAATTATTTTAAAATTTGCAGGTCACAGGCCTCTCTGGTTGAGGCCAGACTTCCCGAGGTTTCTGTAGCTGTTTCTTGTTAGTACAGATGGCCATCCTGAGTTATACATTAATAGACCATCTGCTTCCTGCCACCTATACGTAAGAACGTAGACTGTTTGAAGGCAGTGTTTATATCGGCTCTGTGTTCTGTGACGTAAGTGGTGAGCCATTAAGTTTTAGCAAGCCTCTATCTTCAAGGGCTAACACAACATTCCAATATGGAGGCAATGCTGCTAGGACAAAGTGAGGAAAGCAGGTCAGCAAGAGGGAGCTGCAAGATCTGAGTCGCGAATCCCAGCAGAAGGGGGCGCCGCCTTCCAGTTCTGACTGATCACAGTGCTACAGCCACAGGACCCTATCTGTATCAATGGAAACTCAGGGAGGGCGGGTAGGTGAAATTTCCCAATATTTAAAACACAACAGGCCAGGGCTGGGGATATAGCTCAGTGGTAGAGTGTTTGCCTGGCTTACATTGGGTTCAACCCCCAGTACCCAAAGGAAACTGCTCTGGGGACAGCATGTGCCTGGCAGACACCTACGAGGGGAAATCTCTGGTTTAGACTTGTCAGAGCACATAAATACTTCATTTAATCCCTCTTGTTCCTACTCGCTTAAGAAGCATGGGCCAAGAAAAGAAGTATTCATTAAACATCAGAAAGGAACAGTAAATCTATTTAATGTTCTGCCATTCAGAGTCCCTGGATTTGATCATGAAAAGCCCTGAAGAAGGGGGAGAGGTGAAGAGCAAATGGCTGCATGAAGCTACTATCATTAGAACTTGAGAGAGGCAATGCCGGGACACACAAGAGCTCCTTTTCTCTTTCTTCCCTTAGACCTCAGCTTCAGTGTCGCCTCCAGAGAGAGGCTTTTCCCAATAACACTGCCTAGAGGAGCGGTATCCTCCCATGTTGTTGCCTTTGTGACATTTTTTTTACAGTTGTAATTTTGTCTACTTACCTATCGTCGTCGTCTATTCTCTACTAATTCATAAATTCTCAAAACCTAGGACAGTGTCCAACACAGAACAGATTAACAAATACTGATCCCGTGAAGGCAAGGACTAGAGTTTGTTCTCTTCATCATGCTGTCATGACCTCAAATATTGCCCAGCACATCACATGCAATCAGAAATACTCATGAACAAATTAATATAATTTAATCACTTCAACTGGAAACTGAGAGCACAAGGTCCCAAGAAGGTAAGTGGTCAGCCACACTGTCTAAGACAGGGATAAAAAGTAAATAAGCCCAGACTGTTATCAGGAGTAATACAAACAATAATAAATGTTGAAGAGGATCTGGAGAAAAATGAATGCTTTTACACTGTTGGTGGGACTGTAAATTAGTACAACCACTATGGAAAGCAGTATGGAGGTTCCTCAAAAGACTAGGCATGGAACCACTACATGAGCCAGCTACACCACTTCTCAGTATTTATCCTGAAGAATTAAAGTCAGCAAGGCTACAGTGATTCATGCACATCTATGGTTATAGCAGCACAAATCACAATAGCCAAACTGTGGAACCAGCCTAGATGTCCACCAATGGAAATGGTATATATACACAATAGCGTTTTTCCCAGCCATAAAGAAAAATGAAATTATGTCATTTGCAGGAAAATGAATGGAACTTGAAACCATTATGTTAAGTGAAATAAGCCAAACTCAGAAGATCATGGGTTGTATGTTTTCTCTCAAATGTGAAATTTAGAGAGGAAAAAGAAAAAGAAAGGTGGGAGGGAGGTAGGAATCTCATGAAAATCAAAGGGAGCTCATTAGAGGAAAAGGGTTTGATAGGAAGGGGAGTGACATTGGCCAAATTATACTGTCACATTTTGTGCATGTATGGATATGTAATAACCAATCCCACCATTAAGCATAATTGTAATGAACCAGTAAAAAAATGGGGGAAAACCCCCAGATAAACCTGGAGCATCCTGTCCTACCAGAAAGGAAGACTGTACACAGACGTGGTGCACACGCGCATGCACGCGCGCACATACACACACACACACACACAGAGCATATGTCAAATGGGTGGTATATGTCAGAACAGCACAGGAGCCAACTGAAAGAACTCCCAATGGCCAAAACTAGAGCAATTCAAGCATATTAAGAATTGAACAGCAAATAAAATCCCCCATGCAGAAGAATTATGTAGATGTTCCACCCTAAAGGAAGGGAGCAAAACCTTTCACTCTTTAACTGTGGACTATGCACATGATTTGCTTCTGAAGAGCATGGTATAAAGTAGGAGGGGGGAGGGGAAACTACTGTGGCAAAACCTAGCACTCCTTCAGCCAGGAGATCAAGAGCAACATCTCCAACCATGAGTCATGTGGAAGTATGCACCCTTGTTCCTAGACAGTAGGCTCAAGAGCAATTTAAATGAAATGTATGTGGTCTGATAAGTCTAAGCCACACTTATTTTTCTTACCTTACTCTCAAAAACAGACAACTCCATCATAATCAGGAGACAAACATAAAAAATATTCCAAATGAAGGAGCATCCTACAACATACCTGACCAGTACTCCTCAAAATTGTCAAAAAATCATCAAAAACAAGGGAAGTCTGAGTAAATGTCACAGCCAAGAAGAGCCTAAGGAGTCATGAAAATCAAATGGAATATGGGATTCTGCAACGGAAAAAAGAACATTAGGTAAAAACTAAAGAAATCCAAATAAACTATGGACTTTAGCTAATGATAATGTGTCAATATTGGTTCATTAATTGGAACAAACACAGCATACTAACATACACTGTTAATAATAGAGGAAACTGGGAAGCATTAGACAGGAAGAAATATGAAAGGTAAAAAGGTAAAAAGAAAATCAAACCATTTAGCACTTCCCCAATAGAACAGACTGCTTTACAAAGCAACAAGCCACAGGAGGGAGAGGATGACAGAGAGCAATGAAGCCAGAGGGCTGGACAGCTCCTCGGGGCACTCTTCTTTTTTCATAGGTGAGATGACTTGACATTCAGAAGTAAGACCTGATGCGTGACAAAGCACTGAAATACTTCCAAATCAAAGAACAATGAAAATGTCTTCTAGCTAGATAAATGGTTTGTATACTATTCTGAATCTAGAAAATTAGTCATCTTTTCAAGGTAATATATTATGGTACTTCTGTAATCAAAATATCTGATTCATCTATTCCTTGTTTGTCAACAATAGGTTTATTACATTTACTTATTATACTTATCTAAATACAGCCTATATGTTTATATTTACTTATAAATACACATACTTATTGTATCTATACAACTCCATGTTGTATAGATGCTTTTAAGTCCAGTGGTTCTCAATAGAGAGTCAATCAAATTTAACAGCACTCCTTGGCTGCAGACAGACTGAGGCAGTTAACTAGGTTAAGCCACAGATGACAGAAGGGACTAGGGTAAGCAAAGAACAGGGAGAAAAATGAATAAGGCATCTAAAATAACCCCAAAAGATCACTCATCACAGTGACCATTTCTGTCTGTGGGCAAAATATTCACTATGCCACAGTGTCAAACCAACCTTCCAGCTTTTAGTGTTCAAAATCCTAGATCAAGATTAACACAATTCAAAGACACTTTTGACACCAAGTGAATCTACTTATTTCAAAGATCCTACTTAAGCAAGTGACACAAAAGAGAATACAGAGGCAATTTGGGATAGTGTTTAAGAGCACATGTTTCATAATTAAACTGCCTGGGCTGATTTGCAGCTTTGCCTTTCACTAGCTACATAATCTCAGGCCAGTTTCTTGGTCTTTCTGTTCCTCAGTTTCTTCATAGATAAAATGGGGATAATGACAATTCTTACTCTAAAGGGACACTGTGAGGATGAATGAGAAAACCCTGGTAAAATTCTTGGCCCAGCACCTGACCCAGCAGTGTTAGCTATCATTTTACAGTTTCCAAAATGTCTCACTGTCAATCCATTTGTTTCTAGTTATGTGCACAATTCATCAAATGCAAATATGTGGCCTGCCAACTTTTCTGAATTCCATAGGACCTCAAATCAGATGACAGAGATAGGCTTGGGCACAGACCTCACAGCTTAAGAATCTGTACCCCAAAAAGTTGGCCTTTGACAGTCAGTGGAATACATTTCCCCAGGTGCACAACTGAAACAAGCAGTGGTAACACTCCTGCTCACTCAGGTAAAAGACCTAAGCAGCAGGCCTGAGCATCCAGTGGGGCTGGGTACCAGGGCTCTGCTGGGGAGGCGTTCTGTAGCCCCTCCTAGCAGGTGCGGGCTCCACAACTTCCCCCAAAACCTTGCAGCAGCTTGGAAATTACATTTTCTTCTCAAGGATTTCAAGAGGAACCTATTCTGCCTGTACCAAGAACATCACAGCACTTGCTGTATCAATATCAAGAAGCATCGTAACTCTCAGTACTTAGAAAGATTATGAAACAAAAAGGTAGGGACTTGTTTTTAGTTCAAAACCTGAACATGTTGGGTGAAGAACTCTCAAAAGCAGCACGCTTTGTAATAGACTCGTGGGGGACCAGAACATGCCACCTCAAAATGTGCCTCTTTGGCATAAGGATCGTTTTGAGCTATAGGCTCAATTAAGAAGCAGATGCAAAAATGCTCTCTGCTTTTCCTCAATTTATCTAAAAGTGGGATTTACACAGATTTACAAAGGCAAAGGATATCCCTCTTTCCCTCTCTACTAGGGAGAACAAAGGGCAGCCACTGAAGACAACTTTAACCCTTACTAGTCTGCAGGTGGCACTAGAGGGGATCCACATTAGAAAACTAGCTTTAACCTGCTCCCTCCCCAAAGCTGCCACCCCCAAGGATTCAAAGACCTTTTTATTTGTGTCACTTCTTTAAAAACTTACTCTTCTTTGATGAAAATGCTATATGAGCTAGAATTCAAAGCCTTCTCTTTCAGAATAACTCACTCCCTGTGCATCTGCAGTACGTGTATGAAATCTACTTTTTAATAAACTTTTGCTTATTAATCTGTATTTTGTTAAAAGTGTCCTTTCCATCTAAGAACTTACGAGGGTTGAGAAAAAACTATTTTTTCTCCCCTACAACATTACCACTTAGTAACAACTGTTGATTCTCCCCTAAGAACACGGCAAAAATATTTACACTCTCTATGTAAGTCAGTAAAGTTGTCTTATAAGTAATTATGTCCTTTCTATAAAATCCTTTAAAAATCACTACAAAGTAGACCTGCTCTGCTACCCAGGTCTGTTTACTCACCATCTAAAAGGACTCAACAAATCATGGACAGGCTTCTGAAGGGCAAGAAGAAAGATGTATTCAGAATGCCAGCAAAACAGGCAGCACCCTAGGGAAAGACCCATCTTAGCCTAAGTTTCAAGCTCCTTCCATCCTTGGGCCTGGAGGAAAGAAGGGGGCTCAGGTCAGGGAAGGGCTGATGACTGAAGACTTCAAGTTACCACTGCCATGGATGGATGGAACTGGACACTGTGACGCCTGGCAGTTGGAACATACCTAACCACAGGGTCATGATACCCTGCAAATCTTGAAAACATCTTGCTTTTATCTCGGTGTCTTCAGCTTGAAGTGGGAGGAGAAAGATTAGGTAAATTTAGGGTAAAAATCAATCTTGTACTACCAGTTCCATACAAATGTTCCCTAAATGACTCACCTGTCTGCAGGCAGGGTTGAACAGAAATCTGGGTTAAGGCAGCAAAGAGGACAGAGACAACATGAAGCAGAGATTCCAAGCTTTTCATTCTGCTTTTGTTCCCCACTGGACGCCCGCTCAAGCCCAAGGGAAGAGTCACTGCTTTCAGCAAAAAAAGCCGCCTTACTTGAACTGATTTTTTTTTCCCTTCCTGCTTTAGCTGGAGCTTCGGGAACAGTCTGTCCTTACAGAGCCGCAATAAGAAATAACCAAAGAATAAAGTTGGTCAAATATTTTCATAACTCGTTTCTGTTGATTTTTTTTGTAAAACTCTCCCAAGACACTTTCAGATTTAAAAATAAAGTTGGTGTTGCAGGTGAGAAAAGAAAGAAAAGAAAACACAGATCTTAATTTTTTTTTTTTTTAAGTCAAGCATGATGTAACAATCTGTGGTGAGGACACACACGCAGCTTATTAAAAAATCTTGGGGCAGGATGATGCCAAGGCTCAGAACAGGAGCCAGCCTAGCACCTGGCTCAGAACCTAGATTAATATCTTCCAAGTACCTCTGTGTTTTAAAAAGATTACCATTAACATCACAGCCAGCTATATTTTCAAACCACCAGTAAAACAAAATGACTCTACTGTCTCATACCTTGCTTTAGAAATACTATAAAGTCCCTTACGGTTTGATCCAAATTAACTCCATGATACACTACGGGCTTGAAATTGCGGTGCTCAAATGAACGAATGAGGCGCACTGTAACGGTTACTTCCTCAGCAGCCATGTGAAGAAATTCCTGTGTCAAGAGGCAACAGAACAATCCAAATGAAATCAACTCACAATATCTATGACTGACCAGTCCGCATTGCTGTCATCAGCTCTCTGGCACATGGCCCACCTATCCCATGCTATATTGTTATTGACTGGGTTCCCAAATAGAGCCAGATTGCGGGGCACACAGAAGGGGCCTGAGGTTGTGCCCACCCACCACTATGGGTGGTCCCATACAGCTCTATCACTGCCGTCTGACAGGGCACAGAAGATGAGCAGGGTACACAGGGAGAACTAAGACAGTCCTATGCAGACACTTGATAGTTCTGGATTTTCTGTGCCAATGGTCTCCTTGATTGAGATTAAAGTACATTTATATTAGAGTCAACTATCAACACACGCTTCCAAATATCAGGACTGATCCACATTTATACCATGGTATCACGCATCTTTCATAATATTGAAGCTGAGTATGTATATTTCATCCTAAAACTATATACTAATCCTATGTGCTAGGTGTTAATGACATCTAATTTTGTCATCAAACCATAAGATACCCATTTAAAAGATGAAGAGGTAGATACTCAGATTACATAAATAGTTAAAGGTCATATAGTGATAAATAATGGAGCTGTGTGTGATTCAAGCATCAATCCAAAGTACATGCTTTTTAAAAATATACAATCAAGAAACCACCCCCAAATTATGTCTTCCAAAAAATGTGCAAAACTGCCAATATTTCAAGGATAAAAGTATGGTATACTTCTATCTATCTATGCTACTTTCAAATTTGCACATCACTTTCAACCATTATATACAATAAGTCCAGTAAGTCCAGTCATCCCTTGGTGTCCTCAGGGGACTGATTCCAGGACTCTTCACCCCCCATGGATCCCAAAATGTCAAGATACTGAAGTCCCTTATATAAAATGACATAGTATTTGCATATTATACTGTATACTTTAAGTCATCTCTAAGTTATTTATAGTGTCTAATACAACATAAATGCTATGTAAACAGTTGTTATGTTGTATAGTTTGGGGAATAATGACATGGAAAATAAAGTCTACATAGTTGGGCACAGTGGGGATTACCCATAATCCCAGCTATTTGGGAGGCTGAGGCAGGAGGATTTCAAGTTTGGGGACAGCCTTAACAACTTAGTGAGACAAAAAATAAAAACAGAAAATAAAAAAATAAAAAGGAGTGGGGATGGAGCTCAGTGATAGAGAATTTACCTAGCATATGGAAAGCCCTGGGTTCTATCCCCAGTTCCAGGGAAAAAAAAAAAAAAAAAAAAGTCTGCATTCAGTAGATGCATTTTTTTCCCAAATGTTTTCTATCTGTGGTTGATTGAAGCCACCGATGTAGAACCCACAGATATGGAGGAAAAACATAATAGGATGAAGTATCTATATTATTAATAAACACAAGAAGAAAAGGTCAACCTCAACAATAATCAAGAAGATTCAAAACAATAAGATATCACTCAAAGGCAAATTAAACGTCAACAATACCTAGTGTTAGTAAGGATATAGAACAATGAGAGACCTAATTGGCAAAGGTGGGGATCTTAATGGGTACTACCTTTGGTGACAACTTGACAATGTTTAGCAAAAGTGAAAATACACATACCTTTTGATTCAGCAATTTCATTCATAGAAAAGTGCTCTAGGGAATCTCTTGCAAAAAAGCACACGGAGACCTGTAAGACAGCATTGATAACAGCATGTTTTATTAAGTGCAAAAACTGGAAACAACTACCTGTCATCAGGAGAAGAATGTATGAGTAAATGATGACATGCTTATAGATCATAATATTACCAGCAGTAAAAATGAACAGACTAGAACTACACATGTCAACATGGGTGGATCTCAAAAATATCATATTGAATGAAAAAAAGCAAATTGCAGAACAATTAACTTATACTATCATTTACAAGGTCCAAAAATGGTTATTATGTTTTAAAATAGATAATAAGTTATTTCTGAGGCAGAGGAAGAATCGGGCACTTGAAGAGCAGTACAGAAGGACTTCAGTTATACTGGTAAAATTCTATGCCTTCAATAATATGTTAGATATAAGGATAGGATATTATCTTTATGCCTTTTAATGTTTCTCAAGTATTTTATAACATACACAAACAAGCCAATTGATTTGCCTGGAAAGTTTCTCTAAATCACAGAATGCTACTTTACTAAGTAAGAGAATATATATATATATATATATATATATATATATATGAGAAAAGCAAAGGGTTCTGCTGTTTGAATGAATTTTAAAAATCTGTAATTATAATTAGCATATTATTTATAATTGAGTAGTTTTAAAGGATCTGAAAATAGATTTCCCCCTAAAATAATGACTCACCTTATAATCTTGTCTTGTCAATAATAACCTTAACAAATCTTTTGAAAATTCCAATATTTATATTATTCTTATTAATCCTAGTTTATAATACTCCCCAGAAAACTGATCCTAGAATCTACCAAATAATAGCAGTTCATTAAACATCTACAAAATAGAAGTTTAAAACATAATGAAGTAGAGCATTTGTCTAGTACTTGCAGAACATAATCCTTAATGAAGAATAGTTCTTGAGAATGAGATGGTGTATTATAAAAGTCTTCTGTGTTTTAGAAGCAGTGCCTTCAAGTTTGCTGAAACTATGACCACTTCTCTCTCTGCTCACCCCTCCAAACAACAAAAGTCCTCCAAAATGCAGGCGCATGTGTACATCTGCACACACCCACAAAGGCAGGAGTCTGTAATGTAATCTGAGACCTCGATGAGTTGAAGCCTCACAGATTTAACTTCACTCAATTCACCTCCTATCTACAACATAAGAAATCCTTAGAAAGCTGTTCAGTGAATTAAAGAAATTAACATATATTAAATATGTAAGATGGAGAGCCTAGCACATAGGACAGTCTCAGTTAGTAGCAGCTGCTTTTATCTTTATTACTGTACTTTGGATAAAACAGGTTTGAGCATTAAGACAGCTCATACAAGCAGCAGAAAAAAATAACAATTCCCAGGTACAATGAAATAGATCCTATAAATAGTCCAACCAAGAAAACTGGCAGGCCAGAAGACACATGCCTTATGAAAATCTTTTATAACTGTAGGTTCATCTTGTCACTTAATAAAAAGTTGCCTGAATGGTGTAATGAAATAACTGAAGTTTTCAATTTAAAATTCCAAATTTGAATTAGCCTTTAATTTTGATCAACAATGTATTATGTCTTCCTCAGAAATTTGTTGTAATTTATACTTGGTAACTAAACAATAGTGACTATCAGAAGGAAACTATGTCTGAATTTGCCTTAAGGACAGTGGGAAATAGAGCTTGTCGGCTTAGGGAGCAGCTTAGAAAGCTAATATTACAGATAATAAAGTCTGACATTTTTCCCAGAAGGTATGACCTCATTAAAAAAAAATTGAATCTGATCAAGTTTAAAAGGCATTCCTCAAACAAAGGGACAGAGAAACTAACAATAATAAACTTAGAAATAAGCTAATAAAAAGTACTCAAGGACACAAAAGATGACTTAAATGAATGAAGACTACATTCTTAACCATGAGAGTTTAAATTTATAAAATCAGTCCTCCTAAAATGAAATATAGAAGGTATTTGGAGAACTTTACAAATATTTTCAAATCCACTTGGATCAATCTGTGAGCTCTGCCAGCAAAGTCATAAAATAAGAAAAGAGACAAGCAATCATATATTAGAACATGTCACAGTGTCTAGGGACGTAGCTCAGTGGTAGAGCATTTGTCTAGTACTTGCAGGGCCTTGGGTTTGATCCCTAGCACTGCAAAACCAAACAAAAACAACAACAAAATTAAAATTATAAAGCAACTGACATACAAAAGTAAGTTCATATAATTTTCAAAATTTCATAAATTCCAGCAACAAAAATGTTAATGGAAAATCAAGCTGTGGTAATATAAATTGTGACAGGAGACCAGTCATAGACCTATCAGTGGAACACAATAGAAAACTCAGAATCAAAATTACAGAGAACTAAGCATAAAAGTGGCATTCCAAGTTGTAATCAAGGGTAAACCTTCCAGCTTCACCTGCTTGCAGCTGACTTTAAAAATCACGAATTTTGGAAGCTACACCATGGGGCAATGCATTATTAGTTTCCCACGAGCCTTGCTGTAGATAACACTTCTGAAGTGTGTGTTATGATGACACAGTGGCCTAGGGTACTTATCAGGGACTTGGAGAATGCCTTTGTAGAAAGCACTGACTCTTCACTTGGGCCTGCCCAGGTGTCAAGGGGTGACTGAAACAGGCTAAGAAAGCCTGGCCCTTCTGCCTTAAGATCTGTTGCTTCGCTAACCTTTGGGTTAGACTGCTTCTGCTCAGCTTTGCATGGATGCATGGTAGTCATTTAAGGAATCTTGTCTAGAATTGGTAGTACAAGGCTGATTTACTCGAAACTTCCCTAATCTTTCTCTTCCTGCTTCAATGCTGAAGACGCCAAAATGAGAGTAACTAAGATATTTTCGAGATTTTTCAGAGGCATCATGATTGACAGATTGCCAACCACCAGGTCTCACAACACCCCGTTCCTTAGCACAGGAGTGGCACCTTAGGTCTCCAGTCATCAGTCCTTACCTAATGCAAGCCCTGCTTCCACCCTACCCCACCAAACCTAAGGATAGGAGGAGTTTGAAATTTACACTGAGTTAAGATGGATTTTTAGGGCACTGGCCCACTATATTCTTGATTTCTCTGGCTTACTGATACACTGGGCTTCTTTTTGAGTGGCCCAAGTAAACGAACTTGGATTTGTTAACAAAGTTAGTGGGTAAAGATAACTTATTTAATATGTTGACATGGGGATATTGGTCAGACATTTGGGAAAATGTAATGCTGCACCTTATTTCTTACATAAAAATAAGCTCTCCGTGGAACCAATATTTAAATTTAGCTATAATATTTAAATATTTAAAGGCACTAGAAAAAATAAGTACATATTTTTATAATCTTAAGGTAGGAAGGAAAGAGTCCAAGCAAATAGAAAGCAGAAACCACCAAGGAAAAATACTGATAGGCATAACAACAGAAAAATGTAATAAAAGACTAATATCCCAATAGAAACACAGGTAAAGTTAATTAACAGACAACTGGCTAGTTTTTTAAAAAATTCAATAATGTGAAAAGATCAATTCTAACTAAGCGCTGCAATAGAAACAGTAAAATATCAATTTATCATCAGATTGGTAAAATTAAAAAAATAAAAATAAAAACGGGCCAAATCAGTGTTGGCAAGGATATAGAAAAATAAATATTTTTATATATTGGTAAGAGCACAAAATGGTATGATCTTTCTGGAGGTGAGAGGGATAATCTATATCAAAATTTTAAATTTATCTACCCTTTCACAGGACTTCTCTTCTAATAATTTACCTTGAGAAGATAACCACATCAAATTTTTTTTAATCCATGATTTCATGATGATACTTTAAAAAAATTGCTAATTAGTCACTCTGGAGGCTGGCAAGGCACAGATCTGTTTTCTCTAAAAACTGGCTTAAGAGAGGGAGATAGAGAAACAACAACAACAACAAAAAAAAAAAAACATGTTATTCTTCCTTTCTTCTACAGACTATTTCAGAGTCACCAAATAACTGAGGAACAACAGTTCTTTATAGAAGAATTGCAACTGAAAGGTAGTAAAAGAATGAAACAATTAAAAAAATCATCATTCACAAAGCTATCAGAATGACTAAAATAAATACAGTGATAACCCCCAAAGCTGGTGAAATTAGATGTCTCATTCACTGCTGGTGGAAATATGAAATGGTTCAGCCACTCTGGAAAAAGAATATGGCAGTTTCTTACAAAACTAAGCATGCTTATTATATAACCCAGCAATTGTGGGGGTTTTGTTGTTGTTGTTGTTGTGGTTGTTGTTGTTGTTGTCGTCGTCGTATTAGGGATTGAGCCCAGGGTCACTCTACCACTGAGCTACATCCAATCCCTTTTTATTTGGAGACAGGCTCCCATTAGTTTGCCCAGGCTGGTCTCAAACTTGTGATCTTCCTGCCTCAGCCCTCTAAGTATCTGGGATCACAGGCCTACATCACTGCACCCCCATTCTTGGGCATTATTCAATAGGCAACCTGTATATGAATGCTAGCAGCATATTGATATACAACACCAAAACACTGAAAACAACCCAAATTTGCTTCAATACTTGAATGATTAGAAATGCTAAATAATAAAACAAAATAAACCATTGATACCTGCAAACGTCTGGCTGGATCTCAAGGGAATTACGCTGAATGAAAAAAAGCCAACCTTAAAAGGTTGCATACTGTATAATTCCCTTTCTTGTAAAAACAAAATTATAGAAATGGAGAACAGATTTGTGTTTCCTGGGGTAAGCGACAGGGAGGGAAGGAGATGGCTGTGGTTCCAAAAGGTAACCTAAGGGATCCTCGTGACAGATCTTGGTCCTTGCCTGTGGTGTTATCCATGTTTGCCTATACATGTGATGAAATTGCATAGAACACCTGAACACACCAGCATGCATGGACACACACACACACACACACATATATACACACACAGGGGTATGTAAAAGTGAAATCTCAATGGCCACCATGGATCACAATTAAAAGTTTCTAAAAAGTATCATTCTGAAAACCCTAACAAAATAAGGAATATAGGCAATGCATCA